TCTTCTTGCAGCATCTTCTTCAAACTTCAATCTCACATTAGACGAAATTGTCAATGCTGGATGTGGATTCAAAACAAATAATCATCGATGTAACTTTAACAAAACGGTGCTGAACGTAGCAAAAAAAACTGATTTAAATTTTTAAAGAAAGGTAGTTCTGCGTTGACTGTGGCAGAAAGTGACGCTTTTCTTGTTAACGTCCTATTTACGGCGAAACCCTTCTTCCGAAAATTAAAACAACCAATCATACACAGTCGACAACGATCAAAAAATAGAGGGTGAATAATTGGTATAAATCAATTTATCAGACATCAGAGAAATCCAAACTTAAATTCTAGGAAAAAAATAAAATTTCATCTCTCTTAACTACACAGAAAAAATCATAAATATCATCCACTCGTCAATTAAACATTTACAATTGATAACAGATAAAGATCCAACAATTCCCAGAAATTATACGTTAAACCTAAACAAAAACAACCTTGACCGCTTTCTTGCATAACAAAATAATCCCCTTGCCGTTTCCTAGACCAACGAAAAATTAATAAAATTTAACTACAAATGTTAATTACACAAAAGAAGACCGCCCTTGTCCATCTTAATTAAGATTTCTGAAATTTCTGCCAGACGAAATAAACACAGCAGTATATAATAACTAATATAACATAACTAACATAACTAAATCTGGTATTATTGCAGTTGTAGCAGGCGCTTCAAAATCGCGCATTAATTATCCGCGCAGAGTAAAATTCATTACGCGAGAGACATTTTTGTTTTTTCTAGAATTGTATTTCGAATTAATTGTGGCCAACCACAGGACACAAAAATGTTTTTCAGACAGAATTCTTAAGAAATGGTTTTCCATGTGTCAGCAGTTTTAGTATAGGGTGACTTCAGGAACATTAAAACACGCAAGGGAAATTATTATTTTTCAAATAATTGTTACTAATCGATTTTTAAATGGTGTCTCTAAGATTTAAATAACAATTACACTTACATAACTCAAAATATTATATACAGGATTAGTGAAAAGTATGGAATATATCTTATATCTTCGGATTGTACAGCAAAAATATTTTACCTATTAATATGAAAGGTAAATGGGAAATTTGTCGGTATACATAACGCAATAATGAGACATTATTTTGAAAGCCAAATAATTGAATGAATGAATCCTGTTTGGTATCGTCGAAAAGGAAAGACATCCGGAGTTTCTGAGTTCAGTTTGCCGTTTTCTGTATAGTAACGATTGGTTTGGGCTTCGTTGCATAAAAAACCTCTCAAGTTCGAGAACCTTCCGCGGTGCCATGGAGACAAGGAGATGCCGTAATTAGACCGTTCATGTTGTAATTTTGGAATTCTCGTCATGGTGAAGATGGGGGACAACTAATATTTCAGTATTCAGTATCAGTGACGTTAATTGTTTATAGTTCCCCATAGTAAGTAAAAGCAAGGATAGAACAAGTTTTGAACCGAGTTGGTTGTTTTGCTCGTTATCAGTTAGCGGCGTGCCTGAAATAATTAGATAAGCTAAATTAATTAATGGAAAGTGTGCATAAGCTTCCATTCGGCCTTTTAAGTATGTATAATTAACATTCACTAATGAAATGAGTTACAGTAAAGGAGTGCCGATCGAAAAGATTTTGGTATCAAATTTTCCACGCTTAATTAACAAAGCGGTTGCCGTACGTCTTGGAATTTTAGCACCAACAGGAGCCAGGAAATTAATTAAAACCGAATTAATGCGCACAGCGTCCAGAGCGAAGACAGCGTGAACCTGGAAATTTCCTGTTCCACTCCTAACAAATTGGGGTTTCTTTATAAGGTAAACGCTCAATTTTTGAAGGATCTTACTTGCCATTTTTAGGTGCCGTAATTTTGACCTTTTTGCGTTCTACTTGTCGTAAGTCATTTGATTGCCCTAATTTTATTTGCGAAACCGTAACCGTTTTGGCATTTTTTGCACTTAACCTTTTCTTTTACTTAGGTTTCCCGATTCGTTTCTCTCCCAGACACCGCTAATAATTTGTTCTTTGTTGCTTTACATCCCTTAGGAAAATTACCGTCAGGGCCGTAGGCCATATTTTGTTTTAGGTAATCCGGAAGTGACCATCGCGATTATATTGCTCAGCTCGTGCCTATCCCTGGTACAACCGTTTCTCCACTCGAGATTACCCGAAGGCTTTCAACACCGTTCCGCCGAAACCGCCCCTTTGTTCAAGGTTTAGATGAAGATTGATTAAACCTCGGTGGCGCCCGAGTGACCGTCCGTCCGTCCCCAATGAAATACCCACTTTGAGTTGTCAACGGTTATTTTGTTCCTTAAATAAATGCACTTTAAGTAATTGTTGTGTTTCATTGGATTAGCTGAAGAAAAACGCAATTCGACTTGCTTCTATATTCTCGAAAAATCCCGAACGCTTCCGAACGCAACCGACTATTCTAGAAGGTTCTTGTCATATTTCTCGAAAAGATTACGTCATTTTTCCTCTGTAACAGAGATTTGCTAGATCAGTTTCGAGCATTCTGTCGGCAACTCCAAGCTAGGCATTCCTGCAGTTTTCCTAATTCGTAATGTAAATACCGTAGTAGTATAGAGCAATTTACGACCTTCTGCAGAGACACCTGTAAAAAGCATTATGTGGATCACTCTGTAATTGGGCGAAAGCCTCTTGAGGGTCCAGCACAAGAGAAGGAAAATAAACGACAAAATAAACAGCTAAAAAAAGTGCCCTCTGGCGGCAAACCTAGAAACTGTATAACTTTAGAAAATAATTTCCCGCGATTTCTATTTGGCTCTTTTGTTAACAAAATCTTTTTGCTCAATCTTGTGCAATTAACGGTTTAATAAGTATGAGGATTGGGATTAAAGAAAATCTTTTTAAACACGTTTTTTGTTTTTTACTGTTGCGGCTATCGATTTTATACACAACCTCACTTTTGGTACACTAAATTTTTCATTCCTGACAACTAATATATAACATCGTCAAAATATCACATGCACTTTCACTTCACCAAATGACGCTCGGCCTGAAGATGACCTGATATGGTCGAAATCGATAGCCGCAACAGTAAAAAATAAAAAACGTGTTTAAAAAGATTTTCTTTAATCTTTAATCCTCATCATACAACACGTTTAAAGAACGATCCGATGGAACAATACATCAACCGAATTAATAAGTATGGCCTGTGACCTTTATTAATAGGACACCCTCTATATGTAATTTTGTCTAAATTGAACCGTAGACTTGTTTTTGTACCAAATCGATTTATCTTACTTTCCACTGCATCTTGTTTTTATTAATTTTTTTAACTGTATTTGACTTGAACCTGATTTCTTATTGTTCTCTTGCATTCTGTTGCCATTATTACCAGGGCCGGATTTAGTAGGGGGCCATGTGGGCCCGGTTCCCTAGCGGCAAATTTTGAGGGCGACAAAAAATTTGGAAAATAATTCTACAGTACTATAGTGGAAAAATAACATAACCTCTTATGAAATTGAAGTTGTTACGCACACTCTTACCAACTTAAAAGTAATCATGAAATAGGGAGTAACATAACCTCACATTTCGACGAAATTATGTGAACTTTGTATTAAGATTGTAGAAAATTTAGAGCTTCTCCCGCAATTTTTGTTGTCGAAAACCCTTAATTAATGTGCCCTCTAGCCATTTTTATCAATTTCAGGATCGTGCTTGGGGGACTTGATAACGTCACGTAATTGGTTTGGGGGGTTTGAGGTGGGCGGGGGGGGGGGGGGGGTTGAAGGTCCATAGGTGCAAAATATGTAGAGCCGGCGCTGATTATTACAGAATGCCCCACATTCAACAGGTCCGTACTCATAATTTGCGCGTTTTTTACCACCCGCACGTTACCATTGGGGTAAAAAAACCCCCCCCCCCCACCCCCATAAAAAGGACGAATCGCGCATGCGCAGGTGTACGAGTGGTATCTGTCACTACAAATTTTTATCGAATTCATTTATTTACAGCCCTCCGATTTTGGATTGACGGGCGGCTTTTGCGCTAACTTTAATTTACTTAAGCTCTACTAAGGCTCAAACGCGACTTGACAAAACGTGGTTTTATCGCTGATGGCATCACGCCCACTTCCCCAAAAACAGCCTTTCTCTATTCCACCCCAACCTCTTCGATTTCAAAAGAAAGCTCTCCACAAAAAAGGCCATCTATCATCGCTTAGTTCTCGCTTCTTACGCTGCTCCATGTCACTTAATTCTGATTCAGTTGTTTTGGTCACGTAAAAAGCATTGATATTGTGTTTTCGCCCGTCAGATTGGCGCTGATAATTTTTCCGGACTACGATCATGACGTATCCGATATCCATTGAGAGTAGAAGAAGAAGAAAATAGAAGTCACCAAATTCATTGAGTATCTATTGACTTTAACAATTCGAAAATAATAACATTTTAGGCCTTTAATGGGAACACCCTGCATACTTCGTAAAACTCTACACCTAAAAATGGTTGGTATTTTAAAGGGTTTAGAAGAATAATACGAGCAAACCCTCAAATCTCAATAAAAGTGAGCTACCCTTAAAAAATTCAACTCTAAAATATATTAGCTCATATTTATTTGCTAAATATTCAGGTATTTGAATACTCGGGTATATCTAGAGGCATTACACGCAACCTCAATGTTGGCGTGCTTCTGAAATAAAAACTTTCTTACTCTGCTTAGAAAAAATTAACAACTCTGTATACATTTATTGCAATTGCATCGTTACTCAAAAAGGGCAAAAGCCTAATTCCTAACTAAACACTGTAGCAGATATCCCTACTGGCCAGATAATTAATTCACTTTTAGTAAACAACGTAACAAGTAAATCTTTATTAAGAGAATCGAATTTATACTTGCGCAACCGTTCCCTGTTACAGTCAGCTAACACAATTGTGACATTTATGATCATAATTCTAACAAACTACCACTAATTTCGTGGGAAAAAAACAAACTCGGTTATTAAATATGATTTATTTCATTTAGGAAAATTATAAAAAGACGAGCCAATCGCCCAGTTGCATAGTACCAAAGATGACTTTCTACTTTCCACTCCTGATCATCGCGACAACACTGCGCATGGCTTTCGCCTTTGACACGACTGTAAGTATTCACCATGATATCGTTTCCTCCGTGAAGCTTGTGCTCTCTCCAGGACAGCCCTCTGCTCGCGGCCGAAAAGTGGGGTTCGCGTTCGCAGATGGAGCACCCCGAATGTCTGCAATCGACGGGAGCGACGGCGGAAGAGGTCCACGATTTCTTCGAGCTGGTTGGGATGTCGACGCGTTACGAGTTTAAGTGCTACATCGACTGCCTTTTCAAATCCTTCGGTTTCATAAACGAGGACGGGACCATCGAGGGTAACGCGTTGGTACAACAGGTCGAAATTTACACAGACGAAATGGTAGATTTTTGCCGAGAACCTTATCTGGCCATGGAGGACCAGTGCGAACGAGCGTACGAATTGTCTCACTGTTTAACTCACTACAAACATTCTTACTTTTAATGTAATTAGTAGATAGTGTTGTGTTGTAGTGGTTTGTTAACATCAAATAGACGTAGATTTCCATTTTCGTAATCCTTCAAACCTTCACAAAATGGCGGCTTTTCATGATCAGGTTAAAGATTTAGTTAAACGGGTATTCGTCTATTCGAATAAGAGATTATGTGTCAGATATCAGATAAGCTTGACTGAGACATGAACCTCCGCCCCCTCCCCCCGCCCCAACTCAGTAGTGTGAGTGTCATTGGTGGATACTATAGGGGGCGCTGCCAAGAAGCTCCTCGTGCATGCCACAATTATCAGCGTACTGCATGAAAAGGTTGCATTAGATTTCAAGTAACAATATTATTTGATAGAAGGCTTTTTTTACATTGCTACCTAGCTATGATGATGATCTCAGACAAACAAGTTGCTAGAGTGTCAAATAACTGCCAAGTACTGTGACGTAATTCTGCATGAGTCCACAACATTGGGTAGTGCCCTGTACTAACGATTGTAACGGGTGCTTTTTAGTAGAACTGATTTATTTTGAGTTTCTTTACCCATCGGGCGTAGCTGCATTTTTATTAGAATGTGATACTTGGAACCATTTTCAAAATCATTGGTTTACAGTTGAATTTCGTAGGGGTAACTCAGTTTTATTGAGATTTGAGGGTTTATTTTATTTATTTATTCTTCCAAACCCTTTAAAATACCAACAATGTTTACTGTAGAGCATTACGAACTATACAGGGAATTCCCATTATAAACCAGTTTATTTCACAATTTTATTTTACCTTTAATTGCTGGTGACTTCTATTTTGTAAGTAAATGAGTACCGGATATCTCACGACCAGTTCATAGTCCGAAAAAAGTTATCAGCGCCAGTCTGACGGACGATAAAACAATATTAATGTCTTTTATGTGACCAAAACAGCTGAATCAGAATTACTCCTAGTGATGCCATGGAGCAGCGTGAGAAGCGAGAACTAAATTTCCTTGAAATCTGGTAGGTTTTGATAGATAGCCTTTTTACGCACTTGGTCGAGTTAAGGAAACGAAGTCGATTGGTTAACGATTAAAAATGGTTTTTTTTAATTAAAAAGGTGGAGAAGGAAAAGGGGAGGTCTGTTTTTGGAAAACTAAGCGGGAAGCCATCAGCGGGAAAGCCACGTTTTGTCGTTTCGCGTTTAGTTGAACTTAAGTAAAAGAAAAAACCGTAATTCAATTTAGCGCAAAAGCCGCCCATCGGTCCAAAATCGAAGAGCTGTAATTAAACGCGCAAATTATCCGTACGGAAGTGTTTAATGTGGCGCATTTCAAAATAAGTTTCGCCAGAAACAAAACGTCTTGGTGATAACGTTTATGGAAGTTAATTATATCGCAAACGCTGAAGTTTCGTTGAATGGTAAATTAACCGGACGTTTTGGGAACCCATTCAGGAAGCAATATCGTGGAAATTCAATAAAAATAAACTGTTCTGGTAAAACGAGCGTGTGATAGCTTTGGAATTTAAAACTATACAAAAATTATAATAGTACGAGCAGCGAATAAATCTTCCAAAGCGAAAGCTTCAAGAAATAAATGAAAATGGACCGCTGAAGTTCGAATTAAGCCTGCATTCATTGAACAGCATCGTAGAAGAATACAAGATGTCGTCGTACAACTATCACCAATGAGCGTGTCTGTTAAAAAGCAGCATGCCATTTTGTTTTTAACCAACTATCCCTTTGAGAAGAGCAGTACTAATTTGTACCATATGGAAGACATCGATTTCAGAAAATGCTACAAGTAAGGTAACGAAATTCTTTTCGATTTGTATTCAAAATAACTATCTGTTATTGAAAGTAATCAGGAAAATTTGTAAAGGAATCGCACGCACGCACAGTTGGAAACTCTGGGGAAAAATTACAAGCAGAGTCGTCTAACTTTCTCGTCCAAATGTCGGACGTTTCGCGACACTTTCAAGAAAACTGAAATATATTAAACACCAAAGTCAGGAAAAAACTTTCATTGGATAACTAATCCTGCCAGGGCAGAGCGGTTGAAGTCGAAAACCTATCACGATTGTTATACAGAGCGTTTCGTATTTTTTCCCATACCATTCTCCGGTTCTTGTTTAGCCTTGAACTTTAAGTGTTGTCATCCGCATGGTGGAAGTAGAAAGCCAGGTTGAGTGCAGTCGAACTAAATAAAAAAGTTTATTGCCCTCTACAGCAAACGTAATCTCTAAGGCGCGCCATTTTTTTTTTTCAGAAAAGGGACGTACAGTTTTGTACCTACGGTAAGCCACTTTAATTAAAGTAACGTAATCTCTTTGGTTTGTAAAAAATAAGTATGATTAGTTCCTGTCAATAAATTGCAGTAAATTATTGTAGTAGTAATTGTTTGACAGAACGAAATTGTGTCGTATTTATTAACTACTTTGGTTGCATCTAGAGGAATTTTGTTTTTTTTCATTCTTTGGGAAGTTGCCATATTACGACGATATAGTTTTATTTCAATGCATTTAAACTTTAAGCCGTACTTGCAGGTAATAACCTGTTTCTCAAGACACCTTACTATTCTTCTAAGTGCTTATCTTCTTAGCGGCTCAAATTGTTCTTAGTTCTTCTAATTCCTCTCATTGCCCCTCGGTTTTCTCCAGTTATTTGCAACTTTTTGCACTCCCCGTAAATTTCCAGTCTCCCTGTCACCATTCCATTCAAGTTTTCGTTACGTATCCCTAAAGCTATTTCCACATGCTTGGTGTTACTCTTTATTTATCGGTTTTACTATCTCCTAGTGATTCAAAGTTTTACGCCGTAGTTCGTATTCGTCACGCAGCTTTAATTTTTGTGGGTTACAAACTTCCACTATCGCTCGTATTTCCCGTAATAGTTGTTTGTAAGTCATAATCGAATAATACCAAAAAGCTTTAACTGGTTTTTTAAAAAAGTTCATGCGTCTTTCTTTTCATGTACCATAGTCTCACGCAGGGTATTCCATAAACAGTACAGGCCCTCCATTCAATTCCCGGTGACTGATATAAATGCGTTCGCGCTACCACGCTCTGCACACCCTCCACTAAATTACAGGTGTTTCACTTCAATTCATTCGCTGCTTAATCTAATTTCTTCTTTATCACCTCGACTTGCTCTCAGTTATTAGTCTAGAAGCTAGCCCATGTCACGTGTGCAGTGCGGAGATTTGTTAAGCATCTATTGGTGAATTTAAAAAAATTTGGTCACATAGTCCAAAACATGGTAGTTTGCTCACCATATTTAAAAATGGCCCCCATGTGGCTAGGTTTTTTTTAAGTATATATCCTGACACAATGGTTCAACTTTAATTTTTTAAAGAAAGTTTTAATGATGTTTTAAGTGCAAACAAGTTCTGTAATTAGAAATTATTTGGTAAATCCAAGTTTTTAAACATGCAGGCAACGAAGGCTTGTTGATTTTGTTGTAATTACTTTTGATAAATTTCATTAAATTACCCAGTGATCTAATTTGTGCCTGTAAGGTAGAAACCCATCTATGGCGTTCTTCAATTGATAAAATGGCCCCCCCCCCCCCCAAATGAATCTTTCTTGCACAATATTGAGAAAATCCTAAATTCAGTGATTTCTACTCAGGAATATCGATGTAGAAAGCACAATCCGGTAGGTAATAATGAAGATGAAAGTAAGCCAGAAGTAAGAAGCCTAAAAATGTAAAAAGTAAATGCGTAATTTTTGTTAACATACCGAAAAACGGCCTTAGAACTTGTAAAATACATCTGCAAGTGCGTCATCGAAGTGTCAAAATAACAAGAGAAAACTTCCCTTAAACTTATACAGCTTCAATAAAAATCCCAAAATAGCTGACAAAAATTATCGAGTAGGTAACTGTTCTGGCATGTTTTTGTCTGCTCGTCTTTGTAAAAAGACGTGCGTGCGCCGAAAGAAATTAAAGAAATCTCTGCACGATCTCCGTCGGCAAAACCAAGAACTATGTGAAAGAAACATATACCAAGAAGAATAACAAATTTACTACAGGAACATTTTACATCTGAACTAGTGGATTACGTAAGGATATAAAAATTATAATAATAATGGGTACATATAGGAATGACGGTATTTTAATTCCACAAGTGAAAGAAGCATTGTGTGGGACGATATATTTAAATAAAGAATCTAGCAACGTGCCGGCCATTTTTAAATATAGCGACCAACGACCATGATCAATGTTCTGTAAGTTCCTATAGGTGTTTAATAAAGGTTCCCTTCAAGTTTCTCTCACACTTCTCTGGAGTTTCTACCAAATTTCTTCTCAATTTTATCTCTTTTCGAGTAGGTACCTAATAAATCTTCTCATCAAAATTCGTTTCACTTTCACCAAAATTCCAAACGGTTAATTAACAAATTTGTAATTAACACCTGATGGAATTCTAGGTACGAAAATAAATGAAAACATGAAAACTACTGTCAGGGTCGTAATTCGGGTTCGATTAATCGCAAAAGGAACCATTTACAGATTAAATAAGTTTATTTGATTGAAAAAAAACAGGCACTCAGGACCAACGGCCATGTACCACACACATACAAACGACCGATAGACCATTAATTAAAGCAAATCAATTCGTGTCAATAACCCAAGATCTTTGGTCACTTTGAAACTGACGCACAAAAACAATCGACACCAACACTGCTTCACGAACTCTACTTTACTTTCACTTAAAACTTGATTTTAACGAACTGCCTTTCTTATAGATTTAATTAGCGTACGCAGCGATAAAAAAGCTTTTTACATACCACCGGAGAAAGGCATGTGATAAACTTTTACAAATACTACGCAAATAATTGCCAGATGATTAAACAAGGCCATTATTTTTACAAAATCTCTAAAGAACATTCACATTTAAAGTTAAAATAAATTTGAAATCAACATACAGGATGTCTCATCGTTACTGTAGGTACAGATGCCAAACTAGATGCCCGCATGGGGTTATTATTATATAAAAAGAACACATTGGTGTGCGCGAGATTTTAAATTGATTTTAGT